CAACCCAATCTATCCTATTTTTGCTCTTTTTTTACCCCAGCTTTATACTACTATGTCTAAATCCATTCAGTACTTAGCCGACCATTTAGAAGCAGTTTTCGAATTGAAAAAGATAGATAACGATGCAGAACGCCTAAACATACTCTATGCCATAATGGAAAAAGAGTGGCACATGATTGAGTTACGCGATGCTTTAAGAGCTATTCGTGAGAAAGGCGAGAAAGAGTCTTGGGAAAGTGTGAAGAAGGAACTTCTAGAACGTGCCCAAGAGAAAGGAAACGACCGAGAGGAGCGAGACTGGAAGCCCAGATGTTATACCTGCCGAGAAATTGGACATATTTCCAAAGACTGCCGGGCTCCTAGATCTAGATACTAGATTGAAGCGAGTTAAGCCTGTGGTTAGATTGAGTTCAGTCTATTGATTAAAAGATCCGTCTTAAATAAGACTTCCGCGTACTGGGCCAATTTGCAGGCCAAGTCTTAGCAGCAGTAGACTGAATTCAGTATTCACGAACATTAGCGATTTAAACAGTGCAAACGTAAGCAATACTTATATTACTCTCCAATATTAACTCAATTCTAACTCAATCCTAACCCGTTCAAATAACTCACTTTATCTACATTTAGTCTTTTAGTCTATCGGCTGATTCACTATTCCGACTAGGTTGTTCATGGCAGTCCTTGATATCTAATCATGATTTTGAGCAAAGTAACTTATTTTGGCCGTAACCAGCCCAGTATATTCCTCTTTGAGTATTCGGGGGTCTTAGATAAGCTATTTAAATGCTCTCTGTTTTGTATGAAGATAAATCAAGAGATTAAACTGTGAGGAGTGGGAGTTTAAGATTGATTTTCAGTTTAAGTTCAGTTTATTAAGATTGGGTTAGAATTAGGGTAGTTGGGTTGTGCTATGATGTATTGTGATACGATGCCAGTGCGAATTTGCTTGAAATAAATGGATATTTAGCCACTAATTGTGTTATGTATTGGGTTAGTATTTGGGTTAGTATTGAATTGGGTTTACTGGCTCGTTTTTGGCACCCCGCATCGGTCTTCCACACTAATAAAGCATAAATGTTAACTCGCTGATTTATTCAACTTAGACGAACATGACATGGAGTGGGTCGGAAGTGTCATAAGTTGCTTGTCTGAAGATCTCAGAACGGGCCCAATCTGCTTTTTCATAAGAGGCATAGAAGAATGTAGGGGCCTTACGCCATGTTGTAATCTTAGATTGTTGGGACTCTGGGATAGAGGTTGGAATATTGCTTTGGACAAGAACAAGGTTGGGCAGAGGCGCATATACAAGCTGGCAAGCTTTCTGGCGGCTGGCATGTTTCTTACAAGTTGGACACTTTAGTAAATCCTCGTGGGGCATCCCCATCTTCGATACACATTTAAGACAGGATAGGTGTTCGCAAGCGAAATAGCAGATTGTTTTAAAGTGCAACTCTGGATTAAAGCTTGAAGAATCTTCCACAGTATCTGGGTTTGCCTTCTTTGTTATCGCTTGATACACACCATTTTCCTTGCTTTCTTCTTCACGCACCTCGCCACTCATGCCATTATCTATCTCAACATGCATCTTATTGTCTGTTTTGTTCTCCTCATTTGGCCGATAAAGACTTAAAGAACACATTGAACATATAATGGAGGTAGACTTCTTTATAGCCGTTGCGAGTTTGTACAAATGTGCCTCAGAATCCATCCCAGTAAGGTCCAGTTTAAGAATGTGAGGTATCATTGCATACTCTACGACAACAATATCAGGACGAGAGATATTAAACTCTGCTAGTCTGATATTCTGAGTATTGCCGGCAAGCAATGTAATTCTTGGGAGTTTAGGTGATATGGAATCGCATCTGAAGACATCTAACCCATTGACGTGGTAATTGTGGGCTAACATCTTCTTTTGTTCAACCTGCGAAACCTCAAGATTGTCTAAGAACAACCATTCTAGATCTGTAAATTGACAAGCAATCCACTCGAGAATCTTCACTAGGTTATTCTCAGTTATTGGGTTAGTATCACTGAAACATAACGATAATGTATCAAGGGAAAGTTTCTGGATAGATGGCTTTTGTTCTTGGTTTGGATCTGGCTGTGATGTAGACGTGGTGCATCGACTGGCAAGATCCGCTTCTAAGTCTTGTAGATTAATGTT